CTGTTGTGCTTAGATTTTCTTGTAAATTTAAGTATAAACAAGGCAGTTTCAGATGAGGTGTCCACTTCTTTAAAGTTCCATGTGGAAGGAAATCTTTAAAAAGAGAAAAAGGATATCCTTAGTGGAAGTTTTTCTTTATAATTAGAGTTAATTGTCAATGTTTTTTTTTAAGTAAAAGGGATATTTGGTCAGATGTGATGCAGTGAATCAAAATTTGGGGTGCAACTTTAACATTTTGGACTAAATTTTTCTTAAAGTATGTGTCTCAATGTTTTCATCCATACGTTGGCGTTGGGTAATCTATAATAGTTATTCACAGCTCACTCCAACCCCCAATTTACAGAACTTTATACTACAAATATTTCATATTCTGTATTTTTTTACCTAGTGGTCATCCCCATTTCTCCCCTTCCCATATAATTTCCATAGATTTAGGTATAATAGAAATTTGTCTTTTCTGATTAACTTTCCCTTCTAAATAGAATCAATTTACCTTCTTTACACAATAACTAAATTGTGGAACCAACCTAGATGCCCTTCAATAGATGAATGAATAAAAAAAAATGTGGCATATATACACAATGGAATATTACTCAGCAATAAAAGAGAATAAAATCATGGAATTTGCAGGTAAATGGATGAAGTTAGAGAAGATAATGCTAGATTAAGTTAGCCAATCCCAAAAAAACAAAATGCTAAATGTTTTCTCTGTTATGAGGAGGCTGATTCATAGTGGGGTAGGGAGTAGTACTATGAGAGGAACAGACAAAAACTCTAGATAGGGCAGAGGGGTAGGAGGAGAAGGGAGGGGGCATGGGGTAATCAATGACGGTGGAATGTGATGATCATTATTATCTAAAATACATGTATGAAGACACAAACTGGTGTGAATATACTATGTATACAACCAGAGATATGAAAAAATGTGCCCTATATATGTAATAAGAACTGCAATGCATTCCTCTATTATATATAAATAAAAAATTACCTTCTCTAGTACCTCCCCATTAGAGCAGCTATAGAAATCTGAAGCCTCCAAACATGAAAGGCATACCTACACCGCCAAATTGTTCTCTGGTTCTTAGAGGTGTGTCTCTGGAGCATGTGTCCCTGCATAGCCTTTAGGTTGGGAAGAGCACCTGAGAGTCTCCAAAAATGTTTTTATCCTTCACTAGGTGAAGATATGGTTTTTGTGATAAAGACCATGTATGAATGGTGAATACAGAAATACTTCAGTGTGAGCTTAGAGCTCAAGTGGGGTTTGGTTTTTCAATAGTAAATTATTCTTTATCCTGAGAATCAGATAAGAGAAGAATATTGCTATGAATTGAATTCTGTCCCTCCTCTCACCCCTGTGTACTTGGAGATGGGGTCTTTGAGACAATTAGGGTTTAATGGGGCCATGAGCATGGGCCCTCTTGATGAAAATAGTGGCTTTATAAAGAGGAAGAGGGAAAGATTTCTTTCTCTCCCACCATGTGAAGACACAGTGAGAAGATGGCCATCTACACCACAAGAAGAGGTCCCTCTCTATGAACCAAATTGGCCACCACCATGATATTGGACTTCTCAGCTTCTATCAATGTGACTAATAAATCACTGTCATTTAATCCACTTATTCTATGGTATTTTATGATAGCAGCCTCACTCAATGGACTGATGATTACAACAAATATTCTTAAGATTAAATTGGATGACTAAGAGGGTTATTAATTGCCTTTTTCCCAGTGATTTTAAATACATGAGATAAAAATGACACTTTGGCTTTTTGAAAAGTAACATGATATTTTTCCCCATTGTGTTCTCATGTCTTTACCATGAGAAATTTTGCATTTTGACCAAGTCTTGGTTTGGTTGGGCAAAAACCTTTCATTATCCCTGTGATAACAGCTAATTACACTCTATCAATCAGGCTGGACATAGTTTAAGGCAGGAAATTAGAGAGCACTACCAGGCCAGAAAAACTGCTTTTGCTCACCTTCAAATCTCTAGCATCCAGAATAAAGTAAAGCAGATGCTCAGAAACTATTTGCCGAATTAATGGGTGGAATGAAAGAATGAACTCCCGGTGTGGGTGATGGAAAGAACATGGGCTTGGGAACCAGAAATGCTTGGGTCAAGGTCTGGCTTTTCCACTGCCTGACCATGGGCAAGATAACAAATTTCTCATAGCCTCAATTCCCTCCTCAAAACAGAGTTCTTGATACTAATGTTGCAAGATTGTCATGAAAGATTCAAGACAATAAATAGAAAATGCTTATTCAGAGGCCAGATGCCTATTGGATCTCTTGTTTCAAGGGAAGAAGTGCTGGATTTGGCAGAAAAAAATTTCATGGGAGGGGTGGATCTTGATGAGGATACTAAAAGAAATAAAAATGAATAGCAAGATGGAAAGATATCTATGACATGCTATTAAGGAAAAGAGATAAGTCATAGTTTTTTTTTTTAAAAAACCCTGCTACTGTGGACATGAGCATAAACATACCAATATTTCTGATTGCAATGACCTACTATGGGCAATAATCTAACTTTGGATAAGAATGGCATAAGACAGGAGATTTTCAGTTTTATTCCATATATTATATTTTTTTTTAAAGAGAGAGTGAGAGAGGAGAGAGAGAGAGAGAGAGAGAGAGAGAGAGAGAGAGAGAATTTTTAATATTTATTTTTCAGTTCTCGGCGGACACAACATCTTTGTTGGTATGTGGTGCTGAGGATCGAACCCGGGTTGCACGCATACCAGGCGAGCGCGCTACCGCTTGAGCCACATCCCCAGCCCCATATATTATATTTTTTAATTTTTATTTTTTTAAATATCTATTTTTTAGTTGTAGTTTGACACAATATCTTTATTTTATTTATTTATTTTTATGTGGTGCTTAGGACAGAACCCAGGGCTTTGCACATGCTAGGCGAGCGCTCTACCGCTGAGCCACAACCCCAGGCTCATTATATTTTTTAAATTTTTTAAAATAAACACACCTACTTTTATAAAATGATGTAAAAGAACAACTTACAAAGGGAAGAGTTAGCATTATACTAGATGGGAATAAAAAGGGCTAAATTAAGGATCTACTATAGTGTTGATTATCCATCACCAGCAGAAATGCTCTGGTACAAATAAATCAGAAATATTTCCCTGGTTCTCATTTCTCCCTTTTACTTCATAATACCAGTTAAAGGAAGTTTCCCCAACTCCCCTTTTCTGGATTTATAGTTTTGATAAATATAGGTCTTATATCCTGAGGTATAAGATTTTGACCTTGTTACCAATAACTGTCTACACAACACAAGAGTGTTGTGAAGAGTGTGAAGTCTCTTTGAATACTGAATATGAGGTTCCCTTCTCTCTCCCTCACTTGGCCAGTTAGCCACAAGAACATGAAGGAAGAACACCATCTCCTTTGCCACAAATGCCAAGGCAGGGTCCAGGATTTCTGCCATTTCCAACCATTTAACAATTACTGTTTTAGAAACTTTGTGCACCTCTCTTTTTTAATCTCAAATCTCAACAATATTAGAGCATTCACCCTCAAAGCTTGTAGGAGCCTTGTGGAAGACCATGTAGCCATTAACCCTGGATGCAAAAGGAACTGGTACTAAAAATAGAAGGAACCCAGATCTCCTAATGTCCAGTAACAAACAAACAAGCCAACCAAAACCCTCTGCTCCCCTTCCTTGCTTGCCACCCCGATGCCAAATAGGGACAATGTCACATTCTGCTGCCTGAGCACAATGCCTTTATGTCCATTTTTGCTTGTTTTCCTTTGTGTTTTCAATCTGTGCATTGTGTGAAAACATCCCCCTGGTAACAAGCCATCGCCATTAGTTACAACACCCTGTAATGTCTCTTGGAAGGGAGACAGACATCAGCCAGAGTTGCCCTCTGGCAGGGTTGGGAGAGGCAGACTCCTCCAAAGTCTGTTAGTTTTGAACCAAGATATAATGTGAATGTGATGCTATTTCTGGACTAAATAAATCCTTGGGGACTCAGGGGGCATAGAGAGGGTAGAAGAGCTTATTTTATTGGAATGTCAATCTATTGCATTTTTGATCCCATTTGGCATTTCTCTGAGCTAATTTCCTCTACAAAGTGTGGAGCTGTTGTGACTTATGTGGATAGAGGGCTCCTAAACTTGGGTTGCATAACCCACAGAGCTGCCCTGGAGTCTGACTCGCCTGCCGGGGCTTAGCATGTTAGGTTTGGCATGGAAGCTGCAGACATTCAGATGACGTGGAAAGCAAATGTTTTTGCTCTTTCAGAGGAGGTATAAATCCTGGGGCTGATCTGGTTTCACTGGGAAATGTTCCTTTGGATAAGTTTTCTGGTAGCTCCCTCTCCATAACCGAGCCAGTTAGTTTCATTGGCAGTAGCTGTGAATCTACTTGCTACCACTTAAAATGCAATTTCTGAAAAAAATAAAACAATGGGATTGAGAGGTTACTCTGAAAATGAGAGAAAGCGGGCCTGGCGGGTCTGTGCAAAGACAGGAGTGCTCTCCTCTTTCTGCTTCTATTTGCCTGAATTTTTCCTACTTCTTCCAAACTGCTTCTTCCAAAGCAGCTTTTCTTTATCTCACCTTTTAAAAAAATGTTTAAAAAATTTAAGGGCTGCAGCATTATAATTTGAAACATGTATACAATGTATAATAAACAAATCAGGGCAAATTGCATTTCCATCTCAAATATTATCATTTTGAAGTATTGGGAACACTACAACTTTTCTCCTTCTTATATTGAAATGCATCTTAAATAAGTGTTGTAGACTGTGGCTGCCCTACTGTGCTGTATAATACCAGAACTATTTTCCTCCCCTGAAATTGTTTTGATTCCTGTTATCCACCCTCTTACCCTCTTCCTGGTGTCTAGTGGTCTCTCTAGTTCTCTACTTCGATGTGATCAACATTTCTTTTTTTTTTTTTAAGGGAAGATTTATTTGATGAGTTTCACTTAGCACGATACATCTAAAAAGAAATCGAAATATATTGAAGATTTAAATAAAAAATATTGAATGCTACACAAATTTGTATGTTATCCTTGGGCAGAGGCCATGCTAATTTTCTGTCTTGTTCCAATTTTCATATATGTGCTGCCCAAGTGAGCACTATATGATCAGCTTTTAAAATGCTCATCATCACTATTCATCAGAGAAATGAAAATAAAAAACACAATGAGATATTATCTCACTCCAGTTAAAAGGGCTATTATTTTAAAAAAGTAACTGATGTTGGTGCAGCTGTAGAGAAAGGAAAACTCTTGCATATTCTTGGAGAGAATGTAAATCGGTACAACCATGATGGAGAAGAGTAGGGAGGTTCCTCAAAAACTTAAAAATAGAGCTACCATATAATTCCCTTATCCCACTTAAAATCATTATAATAATTGTAAATCATTATAATATAATTAGATACCTACAAGTCCAGGTATTTTTTTATAATAAGAGACACCTACAGGTCCAGGTATTTTTTCTTTGGTACTGTGGATTGAACTCAGGGGCTCTAGACCACTGAGCCACATCCCCAGCTCTATTTTTGCATTGTATTTAGAGTCAGAGTCTCACTGAGTTGACTAACGCCTTGCTTTTGCTGACGATGGCTTTGAATTCTCAATCTTCCTTCCTCAGCCTCCTGAGCTGCTGGGATTACAGGTGTGTGCCATCGCGCCTGGTAGATCCCCACACATTCATGGTGGCACTGTTCACAATAGCCAAGGTATGCAATCCACCATGATGTCCACTGATGGATAAAGAAAATATGGTATGTATACACAATAGAATATTATTCAGACAAAAAGATGAAATTCTGTCATTCATAGCAATGTAGATGGAATATTATGGATGGGCATTATGTCAAGCAAAATAAGCTGTGCACAAGAAGACAAAGACTGAACATTCTCATTTGTTTGTGGAAGAATCCTAGCTTAAAAAAACAGAGCTGCCTAAGGGGTGCCTCAGTCCTCTCTATCTGCATTAACCTCTGCTCCCAGTGCACATCTGTAGCAAGAGCCACCACTGGCTGAGTATTGCTCTCTAATAGCAATTGAATTGACACTTACGATCTCACTTAAGCCTCACCACCCTCCAATAAGGTATATACTGTTATTTCCTTCATTAAAGATGGGGGAAATTGAGGCTCACAGAAGTTAACTAAATGTATTTTCACAGCTGAAAAGAGGCCATGCTGTTCTGGGAGCTCAGCTCTGTGTAGTTCGAATTATGAGCACAAATGTCCCAAAAAACTCATGTTGGGGACCTGCCATTTGTCAAGTCACTTACTCATGAGAGGAAAAGCTATCCTGTTCCCAAATTATGATTGGGAACGAGGTCACTTAGCATCTAGTTCTGGCTCGCCCCAACACACTCAGCCATGTGGGCGTGAGAATCTTAATGTTATTTTTTCTTACTGCTATATCCTTGGTACTTTTAAAGTGCTTTGCAGGGATTTTCACATTTATTTGTACAAAGGTCCTGTGAGGTGGGTATTCGTACTAGCCTCATTTGACAGATCATGACAGTGAAGTGTAGACATATTAAGTGACTTCCCCCACTCTTTTTATTGGAAGAGATTTTGCTGGATGATTCTCAAATGTCATTTAGCTCTTTTGAATATCTTGACTTGCCATTTACTTTGTTATATGGAATTTTTTTATTCTCTTGAATTGATAACATATCTTTTCATATTGTTTATGTTGAGGGACACAGAAGCCACTCTGTGTGTCTCACTCACTTGACCCATATCTGAAACAGGCAAGATCCAGATAACATTATCTAATGCTGAGAAACAGATAATAGAGAACGTGAACACCAAGGAGCTTAAAGGTGACCAAAAGTTTCAAGTTCATCTCTAGCATTTCTTTCTTGGATTTTTAAATGAAACTGCTAAAAAAATATTGCAAATTGACAAGATTGAATTTGATTTTTTTTCCTCTTTCTTGCCATAGGGAGAAAGCATACATGCATTATAAGTGCAATGGCAGGAGAAGATAAGCCAGTAGAGGAAAAGAACACAGAACAAGAACAAGGATGTGATTTTGAAAAAAGTTTCTTATGATTACATTTATATGTTTCTTTAAATTTCTTTTTCTTTTTCCCCCCTTTTTATTTCTTTTCTTTGGGGGTGGATATTGATATAGAAAAAGAAATATTAAATGAAAGAAGGATATATCAAATTAAATTGAGAATGTCAAGAGAGTTAAGCCATCAGGAAGGTGGGGGTGGGGTGTTAGGCCTGGTGTGCACAGAATTCTCAGATCTGCAGACTTTGTGCAGAGACTATAGCCACTGCCTTCAGTATGCTCTGCTCATTCCTGGGCAGTCCTAGTTGGTTAAAACTTCAATGTGCCAAACTTCTCTAGTTCATTATTTCTTTGATGAGTTTTCATTTTCTCTACATCTGTAAACACTTGTTGGAAGAAAAAAAAAAGAGGGGAAAAAAGACTGAAGTTTTATCTTTTGTACATATGCAAAATGGCTTTAATAATCAGTTTTCAACCCTCTCCACAAAATAATCTGTGTGCATGGAGCTGGTTTTCATTTTCATGCACCAATTCGTTAATGTGCTTCACTTTTTATCTTACATGAGCATTTGTTAAACTACGTGGGATTTTTTTGGATTCCAGGATTACTCTGTGTTTTCTTTAAATTAAGGATGTCTTGGGGGCTGGGGATGTGGCTCAAGTGGTAGCGCGCTCGCCTGGCATGCGTGCGGCCCCGGGTTCGATCCTCAGCACCACATACAAACAAAGATGTTGTGTCCACTAAAAAATAAATATTAAGTTAACTTAACTTAATGTTAAGTCTTGTTTTATTGATTTTATTGATGTCTTATTTTATTGGTTTTTTAAAATTGATTTTCTTTGTAGAAGGATTGAAGATTTCCTTGGGATATTTTAGCAGATTTCTAACTTCTTCCCAGTGATTGTTTTTAACAGAAACTGGAAAAGAAAAGCAGAAAATTGTACTTTTTTAAATTATAAAGATATGCTTAGAACAATGAAAGAGGAATGAAAGAATTTTAAATGGAAATCAAATAATGGGATGATGGGCCATTAAGCATAGACTACAAAAATCAATGAGGATAGAATCTGTGTTCATCATTGACTCCATTAAAAATGATGAATTTGGTGCAAGTTTATAACAGCTCAATTCACAATAGTCAAGTTATGGAACCACCCTGGGTGTCCATAAAAGATGAATGGATAAATGAAATATAGCATTCATGTGTGTGTGTGTGTGTGTGTGTGTGTGTGTGTGTGTGTGTGTAACACAGTGGATTTTATTCAGTTATAAAGAAGAATGAAATTATGCCATTTTCTAGAAAATGGATGGAACTGAAGAACATGTTAAGCAAAATAAGGCAGACCCAGAAAGTCAAGGGTCATAAGTTTTCTCTCATATGGAAACTATAGAGAAAAAAGAAAAAAGGGATCTCATGAAACTAGAAGGTAGACCAACAGATTAGAGGAAGGAGACAAGGGGGACAGAGAGTAGAAAGAAAGGAGAAGTATTGGGGAATGAAACTGACCAAGTTAGGTTATGGCATCATGACAAATATGTTATAATAAATCCCACTATTATGTACAATTAGAATGCAGTAATTTTTTTTACTTATAGAGATAAAAATAGAATGAAATAAAATCACAAAGAAATAAGTAAAAACATTAGAGTTTAGTTGTACTAAGGTGACCATATGAGTATGATTGTTTTTTTTCTCAAGTACCAGCTCCTGTAGTTGCCATCTGGTTGACCTGGGGCTAGAATTGTGTGCCAGCTCTGCCAAAGGGTTGTCAATGCAATGAAAACAGCCTGCATGTCATCCTCATAGAGACAATGATCCCATAGATACTGCTGTGATTGGTGAATCTGAGGCATAGTAGCTTGTTAATAAAAAAGTAATGTTAGCCCAGCTTGGTAGCACTCTCCTGTAATTCCAGCAACTTGGGAGCCTGAGGCAGGAGGATCGCAAGTTCCAAGCCAGCCAGCCTCAGCAATTTACTGAGTCCCTAATCAACTTAGTGAGACCCTGTCTATAAAAAAAAAAAAAAAATTACAATACTGGGGCTGTGGTTCAGGTGTTGAGTGCCCCTGGGCTTAATATCTGTTACCAAAACAAACAAATAAACAAAAACAAAAACAAAAGAATGTTGTATACACTCTCCCATAAGTATCCAACTATCCCCTAGAATATAGCTTCCTTAAAGAAAATCTGACTTTTTAAACACCACTCACTACATAAGCCTTAGGTATAATGAATTAACTTAGAAAGGTTTATTTAGTTCAAGACGGTTCTGAATATTCCAATCCAAGACCAGCCAGCCCCATGCTTTGGGCCTCTGAGAAGAAGGGCACACCATGTTGGTAGTAGGTAGAGGTACAAAGTTCTCACTTTGTGATCTAGGAAGCAAAAAGTGAGAGGAAGGGGCCAAAGTCCCACAATCCCCTTTGAAGGCATGACCCCCAGTGAACTTGAAGTAGGACAGAAGATGCTGGACACCTGAGGAATTTTCAGGAAGCAGGTTTATTGACTGCAGGGTTCAGAGGTGGCTCTTGCCTAAGAATTCTTCCTCTGAACCATGAGTATAGAAATTCTTTGAGCTTTATACTCAGTAGGGGGGAAGGGGCTAGGAGGTTCATATGACAAGTGAGTTTCATTCTATCTTCTAGACAGAGAGGGGTTTCACAAGTTTTTTTTCTGCAAACCTGGCATTTATAAACAAAGAGGAAGCTACAAACCACAATGCCTTCTGCAGATTTTTGCTGATAGCCGATGTCCTGTGCAAGAACAATCTCTGATAAGAAGAGAAACTTACATGCCACAAATATGGTGGGGGTTTCCTGCTTCATTATGGTAATGGTCTTCTGGGTGGGAGGTCTCTGGCCTGCTTCAAACTAATAACCTCCCACAAGACCTTATCTCTTCCGTTCACAGTTCCTTCCAATAGCACAACCCCAGGGACCAAGACTTTGGCATATGGACCTCTGAGGGGCACCACCTATATTCAAACTACAGCACTTGGGATACTGTTTTGTGTGTCCTTTAGAATGACTCACTCATCTTATCCCTGGAAACAACAATATCTCTAGGCCCTTGGGAGGTGGGTAGGCTAC